CCGCCACGGCGTACCTGCCGTCAGCGGTTCAACTTTTACGCCACCTCGGCGTTGGCCTTCGTCGCGACGTCCGGCGGCGCGGCGCTACTTTTCTTGGTGCCGTTGTACGTCGATCAGGCGATTAGCACCCTGGCAGCTGACTTCTCGCCGGACCCTGTCATTTGCACCACCTCCAGGCGAGAGGAAGTCGCCGGATTGTTCAATTGTACTTGGACCTCCTGTCGCGAAGGATGCACCAGTGACGTTTACAGATGCACGCATATATACGTCACATACACACCATGGAGTAACGCTAGCATGAACGATACTGGGGGCAGGGGGAACTCCACCGGTGTTCAACAAACCTCGACCACTACTGGTAAGGACTCTTCTTCACTTTAATCTTCTGAGTTGTTCATGGAGTTTGCACCTTTTGAAACCTTGGATCTTTAGGTGTACCATTAGTGCTGATTGTGTGAAGGTGTGGGAGTGAAAGAGTTCCTAGGTTTCTTGTCACTTTAATCTTAGGAGTTCTTGGTGCTCCTCATGGGTTCAGAAGCTAGGAGTTAGGTTAGGTGTTTGTGCGGTGAATGTGTGCTATGAGATTTGATACATTTTTAAGACTTCTCACAAAACTCGATTTCTGTTAGTTGTCACATTAATCTTACGAGTTTCTCATGGGTTGTAAAGCCATGAATTAAGTTAGGTGTTTGTACTCCAGTGCGGTGAATATATTGAAAGTTATGTGAGCATGAAGGAGAACTTTAAGACCTGCAAGACTTCTCCTTCAGCTTCTATTTGCTGTCATTTTAATGTTATGAGTCGCTAATGGATTTCACGTGGTTGGAAAGGTGTAGGTCTTATACATAGTTCATGCTTCATTATGGTGAATGCGTGGGGGACTGAGTGTGGAAGATAACTCCAAGGTTTAGTGCATCTTTAAGACTTGCAGCTGAGTTTCTTTTAGTAGTTCTGTTTGTTTTCATAATCTTGTTGTTGATGCATCTTATACGTTCGCAAACGATGGGTGTGTTTAAATTATTGTGGTAAACGTATAGGGAATTATGTGAACGTAAAAGAGAACTTCAAGGTCCAACTGTCAGATTTTTGGTTAGGATTTTATGTGTCTTTCTATTTGTTTTCTAATTATTGTGTTCGTGTGAATTTACATTTGTGAGAAAAGGGATCTGCGAATAGTTGAATGATGGCGTACATGTAATGAGGTTGACGTAACTAGGATTTTTGTGCACGGTGGTAAGCTACTCTAGGGAACACGGTGACGTAGGAGATTTATGGAATTACTGTACACTACTGTTTGAAAAGATAAAACAGTGATGTGGAGAAAGAAGATTCCTATTTGAAGTTAGAAACTTGGAAATTTCTGAATTTCCATGTTTTTTAAATTACTGAATTAGATTATCAAATTATGATATGATTAAGTTATTAGATTACCAAATTATTATGATTAAATAATCAAAGTTTCAAATTCTAAATTTTCCATTTCCATTTCTTTAAATTGCCAAATTGTCAAATTACAGAGATATCAAAGTACCATGTTCCAAATTAAAAATTTCTAAATCCTTAAATCCTAATATCCCTAGACAAAGAACGTAAATTTAGAAATTTCTTAACTTAAAAATTTCAAACTTTCAACAATTTCAATATTCTAAGATTTGTAAATTTTCTAACTTTGAAAGTAGCAAATTACCAAATTTCATCATCAATCAATTTTATAAATTTAATTGAATTTATTAGAAATATCATTCGACCTTGAACATTATCTATTAATAGCAAATATAATTGCAGGATAATCACTATTAAAATTATTAGGTAATTTTGTAATATTATAATAATATATAATATACACCATATGTATATCACTCCACACACTATTATGTTATAATACTAAACATATGTACACATATGTATGTATGTGCACGTATTATACATATACGTAATTACACACAGTGTGAATTCATAGTAAATGAATATTCAAAACAATATATTTTTGATTACTTAAATAACACAATTGCCACGTGGAATATCAAGCGCCTATGAAAAATGGCTCCGACATCTGGTACATCTCCAATACTTCCGTTAGAACATTTTATTTCTCCATTCATCTTCATCTCAATTTTGTAATTCGTTGATGGATTTCATGCGCGTGCAAAATGTTGGATCTTCAGATGTTTGCACAGTGACATACACGTATACACCGTAGATTTATATGAGCACGAAAGAGAACTCTACAGAAGTCTAGCACACCTTTAAGACCTCCAGTAAAGCTTCTTCTCGAGTCTCCATCTGTCTTTGCTTCAATTTCGTTCGCGTTGGAACTTTCAGTGTTGCGGTGAATGTATAGAAAATGATGTGGGTGTAAGATCGTGTCTTAAAGCCACGAAATGTATTATTTCTGGTTCCGTGTTTTCTCTGAATTTCTGTTGTTTATCCAGAAGTTATTTGAGATATAAATAGTTTCGAATGGATGTTTGAATACATTTGATGATTAATGAAGAGGAGAGAATAAATTTTTTAATAAGTCTTTGAAGGTTTATTTGTGAAAAAAGTGACAGTGATGTTATCGAAAGTGAACATGTTATGTTGTGCTAAAAAGTAATATTAATTGTTACATTTGTAACACTATATGAATTAAACGGTTCTGTTGATGGATTTGTTGAAATAGGGGGATTGAATATGTGCGTTCATAATCGCGATACGAGTGAGATAACAGTATAATATCGTCATTAAAAGTTTTAATTGTGTATTTTGCACGTGTTGGAGTATGAAATTCAAATCTTGCCGTGCAATTGTAGCCTTTTTGCGTTCTTTCATTCCTCGTTTCAATGTTTAACGAAATAATTGCGTGGATGAATTTTGTTGTTTTGTATCGGTTAAATTATTTAATGAAGTGGATTTAATAAATCGATACGTTCACTGGTTTAACGAGAGCCATTATATTCTATGCATAAATTATGTTTATAAACACAATATAATGTTTATGTGAATTATATAATGCTATATAATAATATGATTATAAATTACATTAAATAGCTACATTTACAAAATTATAAATTTTATAATGTGTGTGACATGTTATTTATAATTTATACGAATTATGAATTACATTACTTAATTACATTCATATAATTTATAATTATGTAAATGTTATTATAAATATAATAACTTGTAATTTATATAAATTGTATGATATTATATAATGATACAATTAGAAGTTATTTTTGCAAACATAATTAGTTTATACGAATTTTTAATAATAATTAGTGAATCTACTAATAATTAAATATTTAAACATAATTTATAACTTATATTTATTTATTTATAGTCTGTATTAATATACATGGTTTATATACAAATTTAAAGTAAATAATTAATTATTTTGAGATCCATAATTAATCTACTGATCATTACACTGTTAATGGATGCAAAATGTAGGATTTTTGTTTCAGTTCAAATTTATGTATATCTTGAACAGAAAATTATTTTGAGTTTATTCGTTATTTATAAAAACAAACACTTACTAAGAATTAATGCAGAAAATAATTGTATATAACATTGGAAATTAATGTTATATAAAATTATAAAATTATTGTAACGTAATTTTATATAATTCATACAATTTTATAAAATAAAATTATTTCCTTCTTTAATTCTCAATTGGTAACAAAATTAGAAGGAAATAAAGTTATTAATTATAAGTTCTGCATTTAATCAGTCCAAAATAACAACCCACACATGAATAAAACTTGTATCCTTTCAAATGTAAAAATAAAATTCTCTAATTTCAATTCTACCGTTGTATCTTAATTACAAAGTACATTAATCGTAATTATACTTGACACGAGAAAGACGGATTAATTCGCCTCTATACATTTTGTATTACATGTACAGCAGAGAAATGATTATTCATCGATCAAAATGATATGCAGCTAACGAGTTAATAGCCCTTATCGCTTTCTCCCCTCTTGAAACTTATGTCGTGATATGAAAAATCGTGTTTCTTAAACGGAGTACATATATCGAACACTATAGAAATGGTAATATAAGAGTTCATATTATATACTTATAATTTAATAATTTATATTAATACTTAAAGTTAGTTCAAAGAATATTTACAAATTATTATATTCACAAAGAAAGGGAAATTTTATTATAAAACTAGACTTTTGGACAAATTCAATATACATTTCTAATTTGTCTAAGAGGTCATTTAACAACAATAAAAAAATTTACTAAAAATTGCATTCTACGCATAATTAAAGGAGGAAAATGTTATGTTTATTAAATATATCTGGAGATATACTCAAAACGCTTATTAAATTTGTTTGAAGGTAAAGACGTATTGAAAATACTTATTAAATTTGTCTCAAGGTAAAGGTATGTGAAGAGCACATGTCATAGTCACACGTTCCCTAACCTAACTTAAATCTTCAAGAGTTTGCAAATATAAATTACGTCTCAGCTGTTGTGGATAAAAATCTTGCAATGCTAGATTCAAGTGTTGCTCTTCAAGCTTTACTGCTATAGCAATATTGTTACATCGAAAATAGTCGATGTTACTAGAGGGAGAAAAATTGTTTGATCTAGTTATAGATGCGTGGGAAAGCGACGAGTGGTTGTCCGGTGCTGAATGATGGATTGATGATGAAAATAGCTTACAAAGAATGATATACTAGTGATGCATACTATTTTCAATAACGCTTTAGTATGATATAGGATTCTCAAAATACATTTTACACGTATGCATTTTGAAATTGGCAGTCATGATCTTCAGTCATCATCTACTTTATAGGGGTGAAAGGAGTCATCAGAGTTGCAAATAATGTTTTGTTGAATATTTCTGTTTGTTAGAGAAAAAAGTTTACATATTTTTTTGTATATTAGTTAAATTTTATGTAACTTTTGAATGATTTTTCTCGTGTAAACGTATTTTGGAAAGGTTGTTTATAAAATAACGTACACTTGCACATTTTTTTAATAGATATGTATATATGAATTATTAACATTAAATTTTGCATTAAATTAATATTAAAACTACTGATTAATTTTCAGTAAGTTAGGTTAGGTTAACTAAGTAATTATTAGTTAAGTCAGGTAACTTAATTAGTAATTTCACTGATGAATTATTAGTACATTTACTAATTATTATTATCATCAATCAACCAATAATTAATTAGTACGTTCACTAATTAATGAGTAGTAGTTTTACTAATTAGTAGGTTTAGTAATTAATTATTTGTAAGAGTTTAATTAACGTATTATATTACTACCAATCTCCGAGATTAATACTAAACGTGTAGATAAACTGGAATTTTTAATTTTATTCTGATTAAATATTATGAAATGTACAAAATATTTGTACATACATACAAAAATTAAAGCAGCATTAAATATTCTCTAAAAATTCTTTGTAATTTAAATTACTATAATTTTAATGAATTTTATACAGGTATCTTGAAAGAAGTGAAACCTTATTTTTATTTTAATTTTTATTATAAACCAATGCCAAAAACTATACTCATTATTTTTCTTCTAAAATTTTATGTATTCAAACTTTAAGAAGTTTCACAAACTATTCCTTCAAATTCCTTCCAAAATGAGTTTGTAAATCCAAAATTATTGTCAACAATACGTATACAATTTCTTTCGTTAATTTACTACACTTTAAATGAAAATGTCGCCGTTGTTAGTACAGCTTAAGGTATGCCATGAAGAGGTTGCAAGGGTTGGACTTGAACCTGACATGTGTGTTTATTGCGTGTGTGGTATCTTGAGTTTGTTTAGCACGTGTTTAGAGTATTTAGAAACTAATGTGTTAGTACGAAGTACTCCTCGCAGTCTAATTACGTTTTGGATTAGGAATCCGAGGATTAGCTTTTCAGTAACGAGGTTACACGTGCTTCTAATTATTATAAATGTCCTAATTACTGGGTCTAATTTTCGATGAAGACACTAGCATACAATAAGATAAATATCGTTATTGCACTTTTGTATAACAAATTTTGTTTTAATTTAAATAATTGAAAGATTGCAGAAATAATGAAGTAACTCCACTTTTCGACTATAGGAGTAAAAAGAAATAAATATGTAATGTTATATTATAAATTTATATTCAATTAATATTGGTATTAGTAGACTTTTATTGTACATCAAATATATACTTGTATACTTTTCGTTAATTACATATAATTTGAATGTAGAAGTTGCATAATTTTTGTTTTTACAAAAGGAGACAATAGTGGAAGCACTTTACAAAGTCAAATTAAATTTACTATAATTAATAGAACTGATGAGAATTTTCATATATTTCTTGATCACTAAATGTCTATTACATTTTTTAGTTTTCCAATTTCCAAATCCATTTTGTCAAATTTTTCAAATTTCTAATATTTCCTAAACTTTTGCAATTTTTTCAATTTTCCAAATTTCTAAACTTTTACAAATTTCCAAAATTTTCTCATAGTTCTCATATCGCTAAAATGTTGTTAATTTCATCAATTTCGAAAATTTCAGAAATTTCTCAAATTTCACAAATTTTTTAAATTTCTACAAAACTTTGTGAAAATTTTCCAAAGTCTCAAATTTTTCAAATTGTCCTCGCTCATTTCCAAATTGCTAAACTCTAAAACCCCAAAATTCAACACTTTCAATTATTCAAATTCCTGTATTTCCTCATTCTCAAATTTTGTAATTTTCCCACTTTTATGTTCTCAAATTTCCTAAACTTGCAAATGTCCAACTCTCTAAATTCCCAAAACTCCACATAGGAATGGAAAAAGTGGACTTGTCAAATTCCCATATAATCAAATACTGAAATCCTCAAATTTCTTCATTTCAAAATAGCCAAACTCCCAAATTACAAAATCCTCAACTTCCTCCATTCTCAAATACCTAATTTACCGAATCTCCGAATTTCCAAATTTAAATACAAGTTCTGAACATCTGTAAACTAGGGTAAACTACCTTAATATGCACCTTCAAAAGCTCTAAAAAAACCCCTCAAACCTCCGTCTCTCTCCAAAACTAAAGGAGCGACATAAATGGCGCCAAATCAAAATAAGCTCTTATCCATTTCTTTTTAGCGTCAAATCGAAAATAATGTATACATAATTGTCCAAGTGTACGTAAAAATGGAGTTGCATTATTACCGCAATCGTGAAACTTTCTCAAGTTTTTTCGAAGTGAGGTGTTATATTCAAAACATTGTTTCGGTAGTGCCGACGCCAGGCGACGTGGAGGCGGTGCTCCTGGTGAACATCAAAGGGTGCGGCTATCCTCCGATCGTCGATTGCGAAGAACTGATGAGAATTTTCATATATTTCTTGATCACTAAATGTCTATTACATTTTTTAGTTTTCCAATTTCCAAATCCATTTTGTCAAATTTTTCAAATTTCTAATATTTCCTAAACTTTTGCAATTTTTTCAATTTTCCAAATTTCTAAACTTTTACAAATTTCCAAAATTTTCTCATAGTTCTCATATCGCTAAAATGTTGTTAATTTCATCAATTTCGAAAATTTCAGAAATTTCTCAAATTTCACAAATTTTTTAAATTTCTACAAAACTTTGTGAAAATTTTCCAAAGTCTCAAATTTTTCAAATTGTCCTCGCTCATTTCCAAATTGCTAAACTCTAAAACCCCAAAATTCAACACTTTCAATTATTCAAATTCCTGTATTTCCTCATTCTCAAATTTTGTAATTTTCCCACTTTTATGTTCTCAAATTTCCTAAACTTGCAAATGTCCAACTCTCTAAATTCCCAAAACTCCACATAGGAATGGAAAAAGTGGACTTGTCAAATTCCCATATAATCAAATACTGAAATCCTCAAATTTCTTCATTTCAAAATAGCCAAACTCCCAAATTACAAAATCCTCAACTTCCTCCATTCTCAAATACCTAATTTACCGAATCTCCGAATTTCCAAATTTAAATACAAGTTCTGAACATCTGTAAACTAGGGTAAACTACCTTAATATGCACCTTCAAAAGCTCTAAAAAAACCCCTCAAACCTCCGTCTCTCTCCAAAACTAAAGGAGCGACATAAATGGCGCCAAATCAAAATAAGCTCTTATCCATTTCTTTTTAGCGTCAAATCGAAAATAATGTATACATAATTGTCCAAGTGTACGTAAAAATGGAGTTGCATTATTACCGCAATCGTGAAACTTTCTCAAGTTTTTTCGAAGTGAGGTGTTATATTCAAAACATTGTTTCGGTAGTGCCGACGCCAGGCGACGTGGAGGCGGTGCTCCTGGTGAACATCAAAGGGTGCGGCTATCCTCCGATCGTCGATTGCGAGAACTTCACCCGCGAACTGGGCTACAAGGGCGCGAAATTCCCCTGCCATTACAGCCGAGTGAATCGCAGCATAGTGATGCCGAACTATAATCGCGAGGCGCAGGTCACCACCATCATACACTTCTTCGCGGCGCCTTTCGTAGTGACTCTCGCGACCAGCGTTGCTCTGTGTGTGATGCATTGTGACTGCAGATGCAGTCCACCGCCACGACATTCGTCGCGAGGGATGAGAAGAGGCAGGGGCAACGATCTCAGGTAACATTATAAATATCTCGAACAAACTGTATATAGTGCTCCCTAGCTTCCTCAGGCTTTGTTTTATCCATAGACATGATATAACCACTGGAGACCCTTTATAACGGTGTCGGGGATTGGCAAATTATTTATACAAAAATAATTTGTGCAATACAAAAATTCTATTGGACGTGTATTTTTATTTTAATTTTACTGAATTTCAAGTAATTTGCAATCTTATATTTTTACGATACGTTTGCAGAGATTTATTGCAAATATGTTGTGTGATGATATATTGTAAATATAGTTGTAATAATATATTTACAGTGATATACTGCAATTCCATATTGCGCAATACTGTATTTTAAATACATTTATGTTGTGAAGATGTAAATGTGTTGTAAAGATTTTAAATGTATTGTTAATATATTACTGTAAATTTATTGCAAATATGTTATTTTAAATATATTGTGAATATAGTACTGTAAGTATATTTGCAATAGATTTACAACATATTTGCAATATATTTAAAATAACATATTTACAACATATTTAAAATAATATAATTACAATATATTTACAGTAACACGTTTAGAAAATATTTACAATATATTTGCAGTAAATTTAATTAGCATGCTTACAATATATTTGCGGTATATTATTTTTACATTATAATGCATTACATAACATACTATATGATATATTATATTTACAATATAATATAGTGTATGTTTTGTTACAATGTATTATTTTTTAACAGTAAGAAAATGAATACACCTGGCATAAATAATAAATTTATATAATACAACTTGTCGAATAAAAATATACTATTCGTAATTTCGCGGCAACCTTTCGCCAAAATTGGCGTTACGGACCTAACCTTATCGACTATTTCGGGTCCGTGATTAGAGGGTCTCTAACCACACCGAACGTGAGAAACCAGACCTGAATCTTGAGTAGAAAGGTACAGGAAAATAGTATTATCTTTTCTCTGTTTAACGTGGAGAAAATGAGGGTAAAAACTATGCTATATTTACTATGTTGTTTCTCTTCTTCTCACTTTCTCCTCTTTAGAGAAAGGACGATGTACACCTAATCTTCGTTCTTTTCTACTTGAAATACAGTGTTTCGCTTGGTATAGTTATACTTGCATGTCTATGGTTTTATCGACGAACCTATCGTCACAGATTGACTGTCTTTTCTGCATTTCGCTCTTTTATTTTTATGGACGATTGTTACTGCTCTTGTTTGAAATTGTTAGTATCAAGCATTGGCGTAACTAGGATTTGAAAGTGATTAAGGTGGAAAAGGACTAATTGACTTGTTAACACATTGACTCCCACAAAAAGTTTGTGATTAGATAAACTATAGTATATTGTTAAGAACACGTATATTTAATCTTTCAATTTCATGTTTTAGTCTGTTAAGGTACATAATTGTCTCAACATTTTCAAATGCTCCTTCATTTGCTTTTTCTGTAAATAATTAATTTGAGACTTCATTAGAAATGTAAACTTTTGCAAACTTAAAAACCTTGAAATTGGCAAATTGGAAATTAAGAAATATAAGAATTGAAAAACTGAAAAATTGAAAAATTAAAGAACGGAAGAATTGAAGAATTGAAAAATTGAAGAACTGAAAAATGTTAAAGTTAGATAATTAGAAAATCGAAAAATTGGGAATTTGATGATTTGGAAATTCGAAAATATAAAAATTCCAGAATTTAAAAATCCTAGTATCGAATATTGGAAATTTAGATATTTTATAATCTGAAAATTTTGAAATATAAAAATTTTGGAACCTAGAAATTTAGTAATCATAAAAATAATATAACTTGAAAAATCTCTAACACAAATTCCATAATAGGTTACTTTACACCTATTTACGCCAATGCTTCCCCAATTTTTTTTTATTTAAACCGTGTTTAATAGAATAAATACCCCAACTTAATTATAAAGATCTAGGCTTCGATAGCCAACCGATCTACTGGAGCTTTAAAATAAACCAGTATATACTAACGACAAAATATTTACTCACTGAGTAAAATTACGATTCTAACTCAAAAACATAAGTCACAGTAGCAAAATTTTTCAACAACATACCTTGTATTTAAATAAATACGACTCTATCTTTTGCAAAGTTTCTAACTCACATGTTGCCTTGTTTGAAACTTATATACGACTTTTTGAACAAAAAAGCTTTGGGAGACCTTTTATATACAGTCACTTCCGTGGTTATTTACGGTATACATAGTTGCGAAAGAAAGTACAAGGTAAGGAGTTAAACGTCTTAGTACATGCTGCTTTGTCTACATTGTTCTAAAAATATAGTCATAGTTTATTATGACTAAGAAAACGTTTAGGGGGTATTAACTCTGATTTCTGTTACATATGTACTTGTTTGATTTCTCAAATGGACTCAAGAGAATTTTTGCCTTCGTGAGTCTGTAAGAAACTTTTAAGAGAAGCTTTTAGTTTTTTAAGAAACTATATTAATAACAATCGTGTTCTTGCTTTCTAGTGTTTAGTTATAGTAACATACTTTATGGAGTAGTTGAATTTTAGTGGCTTATAAGATTGTTCAGGGTGTTTAGGAGGAGGAAAGTCATGGTTCACAAATGATGGATTATTTTAAGAACAGTTTTCTCTGAGGTGTAAAAAATATGAGAATTTTACAGATATTCATAACGGTACGCGTTTATGATTTTGAATATTAATACGTTAACGTTATTTTTTGAATAAATCTGCTTATACGAGGAAATTTGATATTAAAAAGTAGACAGCTCGTGAATTTAAATATTTTCTGTATACAGTAAATGGTTTTTCACTTTATCAAATGTTTGTAATTTTTTTATGATCATAATTTTCATAGTTCATCCGTTGATAAAGTAAGCAAAATATTTTCTGAATAAATCACATTTTTAAAATACGCACCAATAAATAAAAACAATAATTAATTAATAAGTTTATTAGTTTGTGATGATCTGACTTGAAATCAAAAACAAAATTGTAGAATGATCTAATTTTCATTAATTCGTATTTTTATCTTCAATTCTAGTACTATATTTTTCATTGTTTCACAAATTTTTCGAAATTTTCACATATTTCATTAACAAGTTTAAATTTTTTACGAAAAATGTATAATTCTTGTACGTATCAATATTTAAAATCCTAAACAATTCAATGAATATTCAATGTTTTAATTTAATAAATATCTGTAAAAGTAGTATTTTATATACTTTGAGAAAACAATTCTTAAATTCTCTCGTCATTTTGAGGGTGGCTTTTTTCCTCACCGTTAAGTCCACTGATGGACTCCATGAAATTTCAATCCCATAAGTTTCTAAATACGTCTGCATTGAGAAAAGCTGTTACATACAGTCAGAGGAATTTCTTTATTTTCACAAGTTCAAAAAATGAACAAATCTTATGCATATAACATTAAGTTGTTTGAAAAAAAACTATGTTTTTGTTCGAGCAATTGCAATCAAAATTTTGTGACATTAATAAAAATGTCTATGTCAAAAATTTGTTTATCAAAAGTTTCTGCTTAATATTAATTCTACTTTTTCTTGATATATTGTTAATAGTACAACTGAAAAATTGTACTCAATACATTAACTATAACTACTCAACATTTAAACTAACCTAACTTAACTTAACATTTAATTGATTAAATGTTAATACGATTATCAGTGAATATTATTAACACTTCTTGAAAAATTTAAAAACTGGTACTTAACAGTTAACCTAACCTAACTTAATATTTAATTGGTTAAATGTTAATATGATCAGCAGAGAATATTATTAATACTTTTTACAAAATTTAAAAAGTACTATTAAACATTTGACGTAACCTAACCTAATCTAACATTTAATTGATTAAATATTAATATGATTGGCAGTGAGTATTATTAACACTTTTACAAAATTTAAAAACATCTACTTAACATTTGACCTAATCTAACCTAACCTAACATTTAATTGATTAAATATTAATATGATCAGCAATGAATATTATTAACACTTTTTACAAAATTAAAAAACTTTTGTTACCCATATTTTCAATTGGATATGTACATCTGATATGCCAGTATCGACATCACGCTAACCTCAAACTATTTTTAAACTCTGTAATTGTAATAAATTGTTTCGCATTTTCGTTCACCTTGTGACCTATGAAATTTTGCTGACTGTATTAATAACTACAGGCGTATTCGTGCTTAATGCTCCTATGTAGCAACATAGTTGATCGTTTCTTCATTATTTATTTCTTTGTTTAAGTAAAAGTTCAAAGGTGTACTTGATAGTTAAGAAATATCGAATTGTAATATATTATTTCGATGCTATGAAAAACTGCCTTCAGAGTGGAGCTAAATCGACTGCGAATATTTATTACAACTATATTTAAATTAAAAGTCTTCCTACGATTATCGAAATTGAGTCAAGGAAACTTGTAATATTTATTGTAAATATTGTTTCGCTTATATTTTTTGACATGTTGACTGCCTCGTTGATCACAAAATAAGTTGATTGTCACAATAGAATTGCTCAGTATAATATGGATTATTAATTGATTATTAATTGACTGTAATGGGATGGCCAGATTTGTGTAATTATTAATAATAAAGCTGTAATGGTTAATAACAAATTCTGGAATCAGAATAATGGTGGAATAGTTGATTGAAGGTTTGGAATTGAAAACTGCAGAAATTTTCTTAACTGCCGCAGTAAAGATGGATTAATATCGAAACTGTAAATAGATATTAAAAATAAGAGTCATTAAATTAAAAAATTCGAATCTAAGCTTTCAGATTTCTATTTTATACTATTATAATCTAATGTGATAACGCTACTATTTACTAATATTACTATTCATATTTTTTCAATTTTTAGAATTAATAAAAAATTAATTTTTTGACACTAATGGCACCCATGGCATTCAATATATTCATAATTAATATTTTAACGTTTTTTTTTACTGTACTAATTAGTACGTTAAAATCAATTTTTTAAAATATT